TTATTATTTATCATTATAATTTACCATTATTATTTACCATTTTTACTGTATTTTACTTTTTTAAAATTATTAAACTCTTCTTATCTCAACGTACAAGTTTTACTTTTGTTCTCCTCCCCATTCCCCTGGGGTGGGGAGGGAGACAGGGAGCTTGAGTGAGTGGCAGTGTGGAGCTTGATTTCCAGCTGGTCTTAAAACACAGTCTGTCAAATCCATCTCTGTTTTAGAGACAAGGATTTGGGAGGATGGTATCAAATTTCTTCCTTCTAGACTCTTTGATTTCAAGGAAAATGTCAAAATTCTTTCAAGGTTGATCTGTACTTAATGAGACAAAATATGGGAAAGAAAATGTCTCCATCTTAGGCTGAATGTTTCTTCTTATTAAGAACTATGAAATAGCTTGTATCTGAAGTACAATTGTATAAAAAAAAAATTCACTTCTCTATTGCAATTTGTAAGGAAATATCTCTGAAAGTATGCTTTCATACTTTTTCTTATAAATGAAATTTTAATGAAATAGCCATAAACCAGCAATGTTATAAAAATACACATTATAAGAGTGAGCAAAATGTAGCCAGCAAATCCATTGTTCATAATACCTTTCTTCTCTTTTTTTTTTTTTTTTTTTTTTTTTTAATTATGACAGAAATGATAGCAAAATTGTTTGGTGATTAATAAACCTCTACCTGAAGTCTTTTTTGAAATGAGTAGTGAAAGTAATTAAGGATGATTTCCTCTGAAGACAGCATTGACTGCAAAAAACCCATTAACAGAATATAAAAGGACTAACAACTAATGCATTTTTTTCATGTTTTTGCAGGCTATGAAGGAAGTTGAAAGTATTGATTTACCATTAAGAGAAATTATTCTTGATTATTTTTTTAACCTTGTAATTTTTTTTTAAATAAACTGTGGATGGATCTATAGATAAGATTCAATGAAACTGCATCTATAACTCATTGCTAAACTTCTCTGTAGTCTTTTGATCAATTAAGATATTCTAAATTCCCCAGTATAACCTCACAGTGTTGTAATTTTTAGGTTTTATGCAAACAGAAGTCATACTTAGTACTTGAAATTCATATTGGTACTTCAAAACAAATCGTGTGTTTAATGCAAATTTCTGACATTCTGTATGAAGTCATGTTGTTTTTTGGTCAGAAAATGTCACATTGTGTCATGTCACAAGCTGTCCTGAATGTTGCTACTGTAACAGGCCATGACAAACCAATGAGACACACATAAAGAAATAAAGTATTTTTAAGACTATTTTGCAATCACTGGAATCACAAGTATCCAGTTTGAATATTACACTTCAAACAGATGAGTGTAATTTTAGCTGCATTTGTGCCTAACTATCAAGTTAAATCTCCTTTCTTTAGATACAGAGTTATCCTTCATGTATGTGCAGGTATAGGTATATAAATCCACGTGTCTGTATATAAATTTTGGTGTGTGTAACTTGTTATTTGTAGCATTTTGTAGTAAATCTAAGTGTGGCAGCAAGGTGCCCCCACTCTGTCCCTTCATTGATGTTAAAAACCACTGCTAATGAGTAAATTCTAATGGCTAGAGTTATGTCCGCAGCAGTCCTACTGTGTGATGGTGCATCTAATCCCATGCTTGGAGTACTGTCCTGTGGTCTTCATTACTTCTTTTTAGGGACAAGGACAAAAGGACTTATTTAAAAGCTTCCTTTAAAGAGAATGACTGTCACATTCGTGATAACTTATCTAAAAACACTGGTCAGGAGTTCTGATCAGCCTGTAACAAGTGTTTTGGTGGTTTTCAGCAGAATTAACATAGGAATTTTTTTTTTTTTTATGATTCATTTTCATGGGTATCCAAGGAAATATTGCTTCAGAAAAATTAATTAAGACTATGAAAGACTTTAAAAATTTAGATTCTCTCAAGAGTGTACATCACAAGTGGGACTTTTTGATCTGCCTCTTCTCAAGCGTCGCAATTTCAAACCCTAACAGGAAGAAAATGTTTTCTTATAACATTGTCAGAAGCCAGCACATTAACTATGTCCAAGTCAATTAGTTCTTTCTCACACAAATATGCTTTAGAAGGAAATATCTGAAAGCCTTGGAGGCATGAGAAACTGTATCTGTACACCTCAGGGTCCCTGACTGCCTTTGACTTTCATATATTTCATATAATAGACATATTCTGTGGAATCCCATAATTATTTTTAATTACATACCATATAATTTATTTATCAAAATCAAAAATGCTATCATCTTGGCTCTTTTTTCATTTATTGTAGACTCTTTCCATAGAAAAGAACAGAGTTTCTAAAAGTTAGGCACTAACAATTTTACAAATTATAGTGCATACTGTTTGGTTTCAGTGGGCCCACATCAAGCTGATGGATAGAACTCAGTTTAGTGCAGTGGATGAGACTCTAAACATTAAACAGTGAGGGAAGTGGAGCACTAGAATAGTTTGCCCAGAGCAGTGGTGGATGCCCCATTCCTTAAAGTGTTCCAGGCCAAGCTGGACAGGGACCTGCTCAACTTGGTCTAGTGGAAGGTGCCCCTGGACTTGGCAGGGGGGTTAGAACTGGATTATTTTTAAGATCTTCTTCAAACAATACCATTCTATGACTTTATGATTCTATAAATAGACAGTAGTTTAAATATACTCAATGACTCTGTAGAATGTTGCTTACTTTTGTTCTCTTTTCAAGTTATACTCCATATATAATGCATAGATGAGATCAGAAATAAATTACAGCCCTAGATTTAAGACCATTATTTTTCTGTTGGCATATATACACACAGTGATCTAATAGCTCTTGATCTTGCAGCTAGATCTCCAGAAGTCTTGACTTCAGCTGCTAAAGAACAGCATTTAGCCAACAAATATAAATAACTGATAACATCACAATACAATTAGGCAAATGCCTTCTTGGAGATAAACACTGACTAATGTATTCCACACCATCAAGGGAACCAAGCACATACTGATTCTTGAGTCAGAAATTGCCTGTGTAAAATTTGTGATTTTCATCAGACCAGCATCATGCGTTTTTCTTCAGTGCCTATAAGGCCTCTGGGACTTACTAACCTTTATGGGAAAAGTCTTTTATAACTTATTACCTGTTCTAGAGGGCTTTTTTTAGCTTCCTGTAAAATTTAATGGAGGATAGAAGTACTATAAAATTCTACACGAGATGTGACATCTTATAGGACAGCAACAATTCTCATTCAGTTCCCTAGATATAACTTCTACAGTATTATTTCCCGATGTGACAGAATCACAGGATCAATTAACTTGGAAATTACCTCTGACACCACTGAGTTCAACCTATGACTGAACATCTCCTTGTCAACTAGGCCATGGCACTAAATGTCACACCCACCCTTTCCTTAAACCCCTCCAGGGATGGTGACTCCACCCCCTCCTTGGGCAGCCCATTCCACTATGAAGTGCAATTTCCAACTCATTTATATTTTGTCCTTTTCAGTTTTGTTAATTTGTGTTTAATACGTATACATATTAACGTATTTTCTTCAAGCATACAGATAATAATTATATAATGTGCTTCTTAGTCCATTAGATTCCTAAAAAAACCCACCAGACATAGCTGTAGATGCTTTTAAAGAAACAATATATAAATATTCCACATTTTTTAGATTCAGAAATTTTTGTACATTGATTTCTTTCAAAAATTTTAGTAAAAAATTAGCTCCCTCAGCTTGTCACCTGTGGTCACTCTTTTTTAAGTGTAATAAGAGTAAGCTTAATAAGCTGACTCTGCATTTTTAAAATGATAATGTTTTAATGAAAACCTATTTTTCTAACTTGTGGTAAACAATTCAATTGACTTCCATTCAAATAAATCAGATGAATGTACATTGTCAAGTACAGCAATGGAAAGATATGTTCATAAAAGAATCCATGCTTTTCTCATGCACACCTGCTGAAGACAGATATATTTGCTAGTGTAAATTCAGGAGAATTAGGGAAAAAAATAGCAACAAGCTGTTTTGAAAACGTTTTAAAAGATTTAAACTGAATTTCTTATCATCACAATAGTTAAAGGTGAAAATGTGCATATGTTTTCCCATAAATTATCTGTTATTTTTGTAAACAGAATTTTATATCATAAAAATATTACCATTTCATATAGAATCAGAATTCAGGTTAAATTAAGATGTTCATGCTGTGAGGCATATTAGGCTAATCATCTCAAGGTTATTTTGTGTAAGGCTGCAGCACAGGGTCTCAAAGGGGCTGCATTTGCTTTGGGGCAGGTACTTTCAGTAGTGCACTCACTAAGTTTTGATTCCCTATGCTCATCCTGCTTAGACCAATACTGCATTACCCAGATAGCTAGTGATGACGTTACACTAGGCACTTAAATTTTTCAAAATAAACTCAGAATATAAAAAGATCTGTAGCTTTTTGCCATAGCAGTATGTTTAGGGAATTGTTGATAAGAACATTGGCCCTGCAGCTCAAGTCAGTCATTAATGATCAAAGACTAGAAAGGGAGTTTTCTGCAGTTTATCTGATAAGCCTGGCAGAAAAGCCCAGAGTTCCTTACCTGAAACAATATGAGGAATACAGGCTGTTTTCAAAAAAACTAGCCCATCTTTGAGCAAAGTACCAGGCCCCAGAGATGCAAAGGAGAAGATGCAAAGAACCAAATTTGGAACATACATTCAAGCTTGTCCATTTTAACATTAACCACACTGAGGTGACAGACAAAAATGAGATCAAAGCAGGAGTGGTATCTTAACGACTGTTTTAAGAGATGCTTATTAGGATTAAAGTGTTTGGGTAAGCCAATATTTTTATTTTCTTTAAAAGTTACTATCATCTTACTTCAAGAGCTGTGTCCTAACAATACCTAAGGGCTCAAAAGATAGTTGGGGAGAGACTTTTTACAGGTGTCTCTAGTGAGAAGAAAAGGGACAAGTTTTACTTTGAAATAGGGTAACCTTAGATTGCACATAAGGAATAATTTTTTTACAGTGAGCGACATGAAGCACTGGAACAAGTTGCCCAGAGAAGCTGTGGATACCCCATCCCTGGAAGTGTTCCAGGCCAGGTTGGATGGTGCCCTGAGTAACCTGACCAAGTGGAAAGTGTACCTGGCCACAGCAAGGAGGTTGGTACTTGGTGATGTTTCAGGTCCTTTCTAATGCAAACTATTCTAGGATTCTATGTATCTCTTAGTGAATGGTGGGAAAAATGTTTTGAGCTTCTTATGTGAAAGATTCAGAGTACAAAGTTCAGTAAATAATGTGACTTACATTTTTATAACTTATCCTCCTGATAAGGCCCAACATACTGCATAGCATACACACATCCTTCCCTTATCTCACCGCTGAGTTGCACAGATATGTGTCTGGAAACTCCAAAGCAGCATTTCAACACACAACACTAAAAGTTCCCCCTTTCAGCTAACTTGAGCAGAAAATGCTATTAAATTCTGTAGTTTTGAATTTTTTACTGGTCAAGAAAAATGGAAACATAACAAAGTTTAATTAAAAAAGGAGATATTTCAAAAATGCATTAAGGCTGATAATAGAGATAGAAAATATTCTTAGGTAAATTAAAGAAAAAAAAATCAAATCATCCCCAAAGAAAAAAATCCCTTTCACATAGGTTCAATTGTGTGTTTTCCAATATGTTATACAGAAAATGCAATGACAAAAGTTTGTATGATGGCAATAACCTTTTAATGATGACTAGAATTTTATTTTATTTAAAGAAGCTATACAATCATGTAAACTTAAGTTTCATTTATATAAAACATCAAATCGTGAATATAGAATTGTTATACAATCTGATGCTTGTACCCTAAATAATCCTGTTATGTTATGTATAAGATCCTTTCTGGGCTAAAAGCAAAACCACACCTGTCTTGATTAAATAGAAAAAAAAGCCCCATTCTTACTAAAATACAGCTTTCTAAAAGCAAAATTATTAAATAAGTAAATAGTAGTCAGATTGTGAAATGACTATAAGACCAGAGAGATGTACAGATGTATAAATGAAGTACGAAATTTTATGAGCAGACTTTGTGGAGCCATTTTGTTGGATTTGAGTCAGAAAGAGCCATTTCAGTGTATTCAAGAGACAGAAAAAGAGACCTCCATCAACCCAACGGCTAGAAGAAAATTTTCTTCAGGGAAAATGTATCCACTTCTCATGTCTCCCATTTTAGTATTTAGTTTAATGCACATCATGTATTTGGCTTCTGTCTGTGGTTTTCTTTCCCAGCATAATTTTTGCAGCAGATTTGCCCTGAAGCATTAACTACCCTTGATAGTTTTCTCCCTTACTGTGTGATTACTTGCTTAGCATAATGACATTTCTGCTTTTTCAAATTAGTATGGTGTCACAGGAACTACTGTCAAAAAGTTGACTTTAATGCAATGTGATAATATCAGTAATGGTAAGAACATATAGAATGATCATGTAGCTACATTTCAGGTGTCCTGAGTAACCTTTCAGAATTTCCATGCTTTATTTTGGACAGAAAATTTTGACAAGACATTTAAAAAAATCAGACCTGTAATGTAAATATAGCAAAACACAGCTGAACAAAATTTCCCAACAGAACAATTTATTCTCATTAAAATGAATTGTACAAAAATTCCCAATATCTCATTAAAAAATACTAATTTTATCTGTGTTCTCGTAATGATAACCTGCCTTAGTATTATATCAAATTATGATTATCTTCACTCATTAACTGTATACTAATATACATTATATTTCAGCAACATATTTCCTCCTTTAGTCTTCATTATGCTTATATTATAAATTATACATTATGTTATATATTTAAAAAATTGAATTATTTTATATTATCAGAATACATTTTTTCAAGAGACTCTTGATATTAGGTCACTTCTTTTATTTATTGCAAAATTCTTTACTTTCAGCTCAAACGCACCATGCATTAGTTTTATTAACTGGAATTTGAGGTGACCTAAATTCAAATAGCTGACCATTTATTATGACTTTGCAGCACAATAATATTGAACATTGCTCCACCACCGCTTATGATTTTATTAATGTACTAAAGCCATGAAAGAATTCTGCAGCATGGATAATTTTTGAATCAATAACTACAATCGACAGTAAAGAAATTTTAGATTTTTACTCTTCTGAGCAGTGAAAAGTTTAAGCAATATTACAGCAAAAATAAACCAGCATAATATTTATATTCTTTACTCTTGATTCATGTTAAAAATAATGCACTGAGAAAGGTACTAAAAGACAGGAAGGCAGTCTTTTCTTTAAAAAACACTGAGCAGTTAAATTGTATAATCCCACTAAATATTTTGAGAAAATCTTCATATAAATTTGGGAATTAAGTGAGAAACAAATGAATTTATGAATATTTTTTATTCTCTTGTCAGCAGCAAATATTTCCTCAACTCATGCTACACAAATACAGAAAGCGTGCTTCTCACAAACAAGCCATTGAAATTCTGTTCTTTTGCATAATAGAGCTGGATTAGTTCTGTTCTGCTTAGTCTCCAGGCCCAGGGAAATGCAAATGCACATGTAGGTGTCGAGCTCATAAGCTATACTTAACTGTATTTAGGAGGTCATATAAATGTTATGTTAAAATTTCATCCGTTTTCACCATTTAATACCACATTATTCATATGAATGCTGATATTCTCACGTTTTTCCTAATATCAGAAAGAATCCAAACACATTTATACACATTAATCAAAATATTTCTATGTTAAAATGGTAAATGTAGTTCAACTTTATTGAAATTATTACTAACTTTCAAAAACAGGGAATGCTGAATATGATAATTATTATGCCTTGAAAGAAGTTTGGAACAGCCTATGATCTCAAAGAAAAATAAAATCCACTCCTAAAATAACTAACCTTAACATGGTTTTTATACTTGGTAAGGATAATGAGGTTCTCAGTATATACTATCTACTTCATTAATTATAGAAAATTTCATGGTTTGTTTTTTTTTTAAAGGCTATTAAACTGGAATATAATTAAAAATATAATAGCTGAGAACAAATGTAAATGTTTTTGGAAGTATGAGATTAATAACTCTGGCATAAATTAACCTTTATGTGGAATATATTGGTATATTTTTCACATACAGCTATGCCACCACACTTCATTTCTGATCTACAAGATCACTTCCATTCAGCACTTGTGTCTCAGGCAATTAATGAGTGGTAACTCTGTCACGTTTGTGAACAGATTCAGATAGTTACTTCAGGTATTAAGAAAATATTCTCTAGCTTTAAATTATTTAAAGTCTTGACCCAGGAATTCTGAGGTAATCACAGTGTTCTTGGGGCTTCTGTCTCTCTTTTTGTCAGCAAAAAACTGGAGCTAGTCTAATGCTGTTTGTTATATTTTTCTCGTGTCTGGATGATTTATACAAATGCATTCCTGTATTTTCCTTATCATCCTTTCTGCCAACAAATTTGAATATTTCTCTTTAATTTTTCATTATATAAATCTTAGTGAAGAAATATGGGTGCTTTAAAGCTTTTATGCACCTCATAAAAATCCTTCAATTATTTTTCACAGTATAACATCCAGAAATCTCCAGCACACCCTGCGGCTGGATCTGCATTTCAGTACATCCTGCTCTAGGCAGATTGGACTTGTTGGCCTCATTTCATTTGCAAGGAAAATATGCTTCAATTATCTCCATGAAGAGACCTGCTAGAACATATTTTTTTATTTTCCCCCTGTGGAAGGAAATTTGCATGTGCAGTGGAGTGGTGAGCCAGCACAGTTCCCCACAACATGGAGCTGAGACTGAAGCAAAATACACTTTGTGTCAGAAATGAAGGATGCAGTGCAGGGCATCCTCACCTCAGAGGCATAGCCTTTTACTCCATAATATATAATGGGCAGTTACATGTCACCATCCTGCCATATTTCTTCACGTCTCATCCTCATGGATTACAACACTACTAATAAATTGAGTTTGAGTCATGAGGTAAACAGACATAAAATGATAAAACTCACAAAACCCCCAAAAGAAAGAAGAAAAGTGTTCCAAAAATTGAATTATCTTAATTTTCAAAGCATGTAAACATCTAGAATTATTTACCTCTGGCCAGTGTCAATCTCAAATAATAGTTTGGAATTTTCTGAGAGAAAATTGGTATTACAGGCTAAATTGTTCAAAATATCATTGCAGCAATTTAACAGTATAGTTGATTGAATTCCAGTGCCAAGGTAGTTTCCCTGTTTATGTATTACTTTGCAATAGAAGTGCAGCCACTACATATTTTTTATGTAGTATAATATAGGATGCTGAGCTCAGAAATGGATGGAAAATAACCAACATAACAAGATTTCTCACACTTCAGTTTATGAGGCAGATTTTTAACTTATCATTCAGGCCCACCAATACATCTGTCCAGCACAGTCAGGTGGAAAGGACACAGAGAAGGACAGAGCACAACCAGGCAAATACAAGTCAGGAGGACTTATCTCCTGGCCAGAACCTCTTCCTGAGCAATTCACAATCTATATATACCAGTTTAATTTTTAAAATACAGAAAATAAATGGGCTATTTTTTGGTGTATCCCCCCCCCCCCTCCATTTTTAGGAGATTTAGTTGAATAAAGATAATTATTTCCCTGAAATAATATATCTAATAGGTCACACAAGCACAAATAGAATTATCCATATATTAGTATAATTCAAGTAATTTGCAATTCAGTTGAGACACTGTAGACCTTCAACAATTAACTTTTGATTAATTAATCCATGAGGAATTTATAAACATTTTCACCTTATAGGGTCACAGAGAGTTTAGAGCACATTTACAGAAGAGTCATGGACAGGTCCCTTTTTTAGTAATGCTTATTAATTGCTGTGGTAGGATAAGTTAAGCCTAGTTAACATAACTGCTGCAATAAGCCCATGAAATTTACCAGCTGTCTATAAGTAATCAGTAGGTGACCATCCTCTAGTTATGAATGACAGAATGAACCTTGAATATAGGAAATGGACAGCCAAACTATACAAACTGATTATCAAAAATGGCAGCAGGTCCTCAACAATTTTTTTTTTAACAGCCAAAACAGCAACACCAAGTCAGACACCACTGCCTTCTGTTCTTTTGCTCACTATAACAATCAAAC